ATATTTTATTTAGCTTTTAGTAATCCATCTTTTAAATAGTTGTATGGTAAAAAATGTCTTCCGGATGTTGTATTCCAGTTGTGAATTAACTATATTGATTGTCAGAAAACCAAAACATCAAGTTTTGCCCATCCCTATTTTGTGTAGTATTTTACTCCTAAATAATATTCTTCTCCCTAGTATGCATATTGCTACTTAACACATAACAGGTCAGTATTTTTAAGAGAAACAAGATTGCTAAATCAGCAAACAATAAATATTATCAGCTATATATTTGCTTGGTTTTTTAGTTGGCAAAGGGGACACTTAAATTAAGTATAAATGAATAAAATTAGTGTTCAGATAATTTTTCTTATGTAATAGCAGTAATACAATACATGCAAATGCTTTTACTTATTTTCCACCCATTGCTTACAAACAGAACACATTTCCCCTACTATTTTACAAACGTGTGTATGTAAATATGGAGTGTGCTCTGCAGCAGAGAAAACTAATATTGTTAATTTTTACAGGCTTTCTATTAGAGTTTGGGACATAAAGAGGCCAGTTTGGTGTTTAAAGTGCTTTTGACTAGAAACAGTTCTAATCCTCCCTTAGGTATTAAGTTGACTGAGTGGGTTAGTCACTTTTTCATAGCCCAACCCACTTCCTAAGTTGGTTGTTGTGAGGCAAATAGAAGGCAGAAGCATTATGTACACTGCACTGAACTGCACAAAATTGCGGAGTATAGAAAAAGTAATAATTTTATAGACAGCGGTAACTGTGTTTACTAAAATGCATGTAGAAATATGATGGATTTTGCTATCACATCTGCACAGCTCTAATCCACTGAATTGACAGCTAGCATAATAGATTTACTTTTGTCTTGCACAGCATTAGATGTATGTGAAAAGTGGGGAGAATCGCCACCTCTGCAACCCAAGCATATGCGTGAAGCAGTCAGACGACTGAAATCACGAGGACAGATTCCAAATTCAAAATATAAAAAAATTCTCTATCACTGAAGAGGAAGCAGAAAAAGTATCTAAGTGGAATGGAGATGTTTTCACTGAAATGAAAATGACTTCTGAGAGTATATTCAGATTATTTAAGAGCGTCAAGTTCTGCAAAATTAAGATGTTCCTTGTGCAATAATTCTGAGTGGGTAATGATAAGACTACATTGCAGGTATATTGTGCTAAATATAAACAACATTTTCTAAGTAGGCAAAATAAGAAACATTGATGTAATAATATTACATGAAACTTCTGAAACATGATTTTGAGATTTCTCTTAAAAGGAAATAAAAGTTTTTAAAAAGCGTTACAGGATAATGGCTGTTCATTCAGTGACTATTTGAATGTACTACACTGCTGAAAAAATGGACTTACAACCAACATTGCATTTATGACCTTCACACTGTCCTTATGGTCATGTAATCAAAGTTCGGATGCTTGGGGACCAGCCCACATTTATAACAATCATAGCTTCCTGAGGTCACATTCTCTGCCTTGTGCAAACAGCCTTCACTTCAGCTCTCCCCTCGGCTGCCCTAGACACCATGTCCAAAATGTAGACATCACTATACGCCACTGTCCCCACTCCAAGCTGATCTTTTTCTTCTTTGCTCCCTTCCTCTGGGCTTGCTGGCCTCAAGCCCCACTGCACAGGGGCTGACAGTACTGGGCTCAACTCTGCCCTTTTGGTTACCTTGCACTGCATGGCCAAGATAAAGATGCTGCTTATTCTGCCATTGCCCCTTGCTGCTGTCCCACCTTTGGTGCTATGGGCTTGAAGCCAGCCATCAGCCAGCCCAGTGGAGGGGAGGGGAAGATGATGGTTAGCAGAGGGTGATGGAATATAACAGCATCTTTATATTGACTATGCTCTAGAGCAGTGGTTCTTAACCTTTTTGAACGAATCGCCCCCTTGAGCCAATGAGGAAGTTGTCATCGCCCCCCTCCCCCAACATAACCTCTCAATCACAACTTTGCAATACTGCAGACCTCTTAAAATGTGAAATGAATTTATATAAACTTTCATTTCTCTCCCCCAGAATAAAGTTAATAATTTTGTGGATGTGAGNATATTTTATTTAGCTTTTAGTAATCCATCTTTTAAATAGTTGTATGGTAAAAAATGTCTTCCGGATGTTGTATTCCAGTTGTGAATTAACTATATTGATTGTCAGAAAACCAAAACATCAAGTTTTGCCCATCCCTATTTTGTGTAGTATTTTACTCCTAAATAATATTCTTCTCCCTAGTATGCATATTGCTACTTAATACATAACAGGTCAGTATTTTTAAGAGAAACAAGATTGCTAAATCAGCAAACAATAAATATTATCAGCTATATATTTGCTTGGTTTTTTAGTTGGCAAAGGGGACACTTAAATTAAGTATAAATGAATAAAATTAATGTTCAGATAATTTTTCTTATGTAATAGCAGTAATACAATACATGCAAATGCTTTTACTTATTTTCCACCCATTGCTTACAAACAGAACACATTTCCCCTACTATTTTACAAAAGTGTGTATGTAAATATGGAGTGTGCTCTGCAGCAGAGAAAACTAATATTGTTAATTTTTACAGGCTTTCTATTAGAGTTTGGGACATAAAGAGGCCAGTTTGGTGTTTAAAGTGCTTTTGACTAGAAACAGTTCTAATCCTCCCTTAGGTATTAAGTTGACTAGTGGGTTAGTCACTTTTTCATAGCCCAACCCACTTCCTAAGTTGGTTGTTGTGAGGCAAATAGAAGGCAGAAGCATTATGTACACTGCACTGAACTGCACAAAATAGTGGAGTATAGAAAAAGTAATAATTTTATAGACGGCAGTAACTGTGTTTACTAAAATGCATGTAGAAATATGATGGATTTTGCTATCACATCTGCATAGCTCTAATCCACTGAATTGACAGCTAGCATAATAGATTTACTTTTGTCTTGCACAGCATTAGATGTATGTGAAAAGTGGGGAGAATCGCCACCTCTGCAACCCAAGCATATGCGTGAAGCAGTCAGACGACTGAAATCACGAGGACAGATTCCAAATTCAAAATATAAAAAAATTCTCTATCACTGAAGAGGAAGCAGAAAAAGTATCTAAATGGAATGGAGATGTTTTCACTGAAATGAAAATGACTTCTGAGAGTATATTCAGATTATTTAAGAGCGTCAAGTTCTGCAAAATTAAGATGTTCCTTGTGCAATAATTATGAGTGGGTAATGATAAGACTACATTGCAGGTATATTGTGCTAAATATAAACAACATTTTCTAAGTAGGCAAAATAAGAAACATTGATGTAATAATATTACATGAAACTTCTGAAACATGATTTTGAGATTTCTCTTAAAAGGAAATAAAAGTTTTTAAAAAGCGTTACAGGATAATGGCTGTTTATTCAGTGACTATTTGAATGTACTACACTGCTGAAAAAATGGACTTACAACCAGCATTGCATTTATGACCTTCACACTGTCCTTATGGTCATGTAATCAAAGTTCGGATGCTTGGGGACCAGCCCACATTTATAACAATCATAGCTTCCTGAGGTCACATTCTCTGCCTTGTGCAAACAGCCTTCACTTCAGCTCTCCCCTCGGCTGCCCTAGACACCATGTCCAAAATGTAGACATCACTATACGCCACTGTCCCCACTCCAAGCTGATCTTTTTCTTCTTTGCTCCCTTCCTCTGGGCTTGCTGGCCTCAAGCCCCACTGCACAGGGTCTGACAGTACTGGGCTCAACTCTGCCCTTTTGGTTACCTTGCACTGCATGGCCAAGATAAAGATGCTGCTTATTCTGCCATTGCCCCTTGCTGCTGTCCCACCTTTGGTGCTATGGGCTTGAAGCCAGCCATCAGCCAGCCCAGTGGAGGGGAGGGGAAGATGATGGTTAGCAGAGGGTGATGGAATATAACAGCATCTTTATATTGACTATGCTCTAGAGCAGTGGTTCTCAACCTTTTTAATGCCGTGACCCCAACCGGTCGTAAGTCGAGGACTAAACCGGTCGTAAGTTGAGGACTAAACCGGTCGTAAGTCAAGGACTAAACCGGTCATAAGTCGAGGACTAAACCGGTCGTAAGTCGACTACCCAACCGGTCATAAGTCGAGGACTTTCCCTGCCCAGGAGCGCCGCGCATGCGTGGTTCCACCCCTTGCGCCAGCCGAGGTGTAGCTGGCAAGCGGCAGAGACGGAGCAGGCCGTCCACCAGCTGGCCCAGCCTAAGGGAGGTAAGGCACTCGCCGGAAAAGGGGGAAAAAATGGCGGACAGCCTTGCTTGGTGACCCCCGTGAAATGGTCGATCGACCCCAAATGGGGTCCCGACCCACAGGTTGAGAACCACTGCTCTAGAGAAGGGGAAGAGAATGGCAGGTGGGAGGAACAGGACACAGCTTGAGCAGGACAATTGGCTTCTGGCTAACTGATCCCCTGAAAGTGTCCTTTGACATGGAAAAATCAAGGCTTGGAGCTGGCAGGGATCAAGCTGGGAATGGATTGGATCATTGTGGGAACTGACAGGAGATGTGATCAGCTTTTGCAACCTTCCCATCTGGCTTCCAACAAAGTCAATGGAGAAGCTGCAGGAGGTCGTAAGTCATAGTCACATACCTTTGCTTAACAACCGCTGCCAGGACTTCCATTGTTAAGCAGCACCTTCACGTGATGTTTTGCTTAATGACTTCTTTGCTTAGTAAAAGAAATTCCAATCCCAATAAGGGTTGTTACCTGAGGACTATCAGTATTACAGATACCATTACATCTGTTGACAACTAAATCTAACATAGTAATTATAGTTATTTTTCTTCTTAGTCCTAATATTTAAGTTTGTATTGATCTCTCAGCTTAAATATAGAATTTGTTAACTATTACAGCAAGATCAAGGAAACGTGCCATATACTTGTAAAGAATTATCAAAAACAATTGTGCATCATAAAGCTAATGTTAAACTTTTAAAACTTGTCGTTTTAATAAGGCCCTTAAGTGTTTTTGAAAAGTTCAGAAATGTTCACAATGTATATTAATTGCAATTATCAATACAAATAAATTAATAAATATAAATAAAATCTAAGATAGGAACCTAAGCCTGAGAAATAAATCAATGGAAATAGAAGTTAAGCATTTTAATACATAATTTTTTAAAAGTGGTTCACAGAACCAGTATAGTCAAGAGGAAACTATATTGTGTGAGAAAGAGATCCAATATACTGAAGGCTTAGATTTCAAGTCAGACTTGTACCACATATTGTCTATTCCCATATACTCTCCTGTTTGAAATTACAGAAGTAGTTATAACAGACTTAGAGCTTTAAAATTAATTTTTTGATATGTCAGCTATGACGTTATATAAAGAGTTTTGTTCTTCACATATATAAATACAGCACAGAAGGAAAACATCTTCAAAAACAGAACCAGACTAAAATACTTTTTGTAGTCAAATATCAGCTTCAGTGGGTTTCCTCTTATTCTCATGTTACGTTTAGATAAATAATTGTTCTCAGCATAGCGGAAGCATCTGAGGCATTCATGCCATAACAGGCTAATAAGCTGTAGTTTCTATTAACTGAAACAAGCATACTACACCAACTTATTTGCCACAGTATACAGTTTACAGTTTCTACATTTTGCCTTATTTTAAACCAAATTTATATTGGAAGACATAAAATTATTTTAGTCAAAAATGCAGAGACTATATGGTATAATAAAATACACTGTGATTTTTGTACCCTGCTGCATTTCTAAATGAAAAGTTACTTTAAGTGAACAGAATGTGTACTGCACCGAATGTAAATATTCACACTTGCCTCATTCTAAGCTCAAAAAATTGGGTGCACATGTATTTGTTCAAATAAACCAACATATTTGGGCAATTATTCAACAATTAGATCTAGAGAAAAAAACAACCACATATTCATTAACAAACTTCCTGTCAAAGTTGACAGAAAACACAGTTACACGTGTTATTTTGGTTATCAGCAGTTTCATATAGTCACAGACTGTTCTATTCATCAGAAAAAATAGGCATATACATCTGCAAAAGCACACTACTCTTTAGATAAAGAGTGCTTTTGCAAGTATATTAAAGAAGGACTGTCCCATAAGGGCATTATCCAATATGGAGTGACAGAATAATGTTTACTCCAGTGCATGGCCTGGGTTTGTTTAGAATATTGTAACAGAGATAACAGGAAAAGTGTAGAAGCAACAACTGTTCCTTACATAGCAAACAGGCAAAATCCAGAATACATGCAATCTTATAAGGAAAAAACATTACCATTAAATTAAAGAAACCGACAGAAGCACAGCACAG